CATCGGCGCCTTCTAGAGGCTCTTCCCTTTTCTCCAGCTCCGCCCATCGGCGCCTTCTAGTGCCCTTTTCTCCTCCAGCTCCGCCCATCGCCCTTTTCTCCTCCAGCTCCGCCATCGCGCCTTCTAAGGCTCCGCCCAAAGGCTCCGCCCATCGCGCCTTCTAGTCCCCTCTCAAGTTTCTCCTCCAGGCTCCGCCCATCGGCGCCTTCTAGTGCCCTTTTCTCCTCCAGGCTCCGCCCATCGGCGCCAAGGCTGCCATTTCTAGTGCCCTTTTCTCCTCCAGGCTCCGCCCATTCTAGTGCCCTTTTCTCCTCCAGCTCCGCCCATCGTTCTAGTGCCCTTTTCCTCCAGCTCCGCCCAAGAGGCTCCGGCGCCCATCAGCGCCTTCTAGTGCCCTTTTCTCCTCCAGGCTCCGCCCATCGGCGAGATGAGTACAAGTGTCTGGAGCAACGCCGAGACTCAGGGCATCTTCTTCAACCTTACCATGTCTTACCACCGTCTTAGCGATGTGGTTTGGCAAAGTGGTGACCTCGTGCCCTTGACCTCTTCCCCGGGGTCTCACAGCGAACCCCGAAACCTCTTTAACACCACGGACGAAACCTTCCTGCAGTATAAAGACTACATGCTTGGGTATGACCGTGGGATTAAGATGTTGGACAATAGGCCTCGAATGCGGTCCGAGCACTCAAAGAGCAACGATTCAACCTTAAATGGCTATTTCGGTCATTCTAATGGGACTGAAGGTAAGCCTAAGAAACAATACGACCCTCCTGGCGATCGCCTTGACAAGAAAGACGCGATAAACGCAACAGAGGATAGAAATAGCTCGGGAGCAGAGTCAGAAGACTTGCCGTGGCACGCATTTTTCACTCAGGAGGAAATTGCCAAGGCGAGCCGTACGAAACTCGCGGCGTGGATGGCTAGTCACTGCCCAACGGACTCGCGCAGGGAGAACTTGGTGGCGGCCCTCCAGAAGCACATCAGCGTCACGACCATCGGCAAGTGTGGAGAGCTTTCATGCGGGAGGAATCACATGGACACATATTGCTACCGGTGGCTGGCTTCGTCGCACCTCTTTTACCTCTCTTTTGAAAACGCCCTTTGCGACGACTACGTCACGGAGAAGCTGTGGCGTCCTCTGGAGCACGGAATGGTGCCCGTCGTCTACGGTGGCGCCAGATACGAGGACTTCCTCCCCTTCGGCTCCTTCATCAACGCGTCGAAGTTCAAGAGCGCCATGCACCTCGCCAAATACCTCGTTTACCTGGGCAACCACCCCACGGCTTACCTGAGGCACCTGCAGTGGCGGCGGTTCTGGCGAGTGCGCTGGCCCACGCCTTGGTGTCACCTCTGCTCCCGCCTCCACCAGCAGCAGTCCGCGCCCAGCATCGTCACGCTCGACTCCTGGTGGAACTCAACCGCCACGTGTTACAGTCCCACCATGTGGTGACGGGGCATTTGTCGGTGTTCTTCTACGTTACGTTATGTTCATGTATTGCTGAGCTCGATGTTGACGTTATGCCATGATATTCTCGCCATTATATCATCACACGTGCCATATATCTACATTGTAAATAACAAACATGCATTGTACCATACCATCAAATACAAATGGAATCTCATAATTAGGTTTTGTATTATTCTTCCCTTCTCAAAATAATAATAGTAAAACAGGCGATAAAGAATAACAACAATAAGAGTAATAATGGGAAAGAGAGACATAAAAGTTTTGCAATTAACTAAGACCGAGAGAGCCCGGATGAAAATGGCCGCCCTCGATTAATGTTTGTTAAAAATAGCTCAGTGTAAGTGAGAACATTCATAATTGGAAGCGACAGTAAATTAACTCTGACGAAATGACTATTCACGCTTTCTCGAAATAAAAAGATATTAAGTAGATGAATGTTGAAAGACTGCTAATATCACTTTTTCGTTTTCTTTTTGTATTACTTCCATGTGTTCAGTAAAAAGTAATAAATACAGTATCAGGAAAAAATATTGACACTAACCTAATTACCAATATAATTGTGGAACTAACAGATGATATTGATATTAGTAACGTTATTTAGCCAAAATACACATATATAATTTGACATATACAAATGAAAATTGAATGGTTGAGCCTCCTAATAACAAAAGTTCTCTTAAGGAAGCAGCTTGTTTGGGAATGAATGTGTATTTACAGTGTTTAGTCTAATATTATTCCCCTCACAGTTGGGTTGGAGACAATTCCATTAATCAAGGCAAAAATATACAGCATAATATATATAGCAAAGAACAGACTAGTAAATATGATTATATCGTAATAATTGATAACAACATTCATAAAAGAGACGAGAAAACTATATTGCACAAGATTATATCTATATATATTCGCACAAAATCACATATACAAACATACCTACGTACATGAACACATGCATACATTACATTACTATGCACACATACACACTTAAACATAGATACATATATAAAAACATATACATATACATGAAAGCAGTAGTAGCAATGTTTATAATTATAACTATAATAACGATAATTACAATGATTATAATAATGATAATAGAAAAATGATAATGATGAAATTGATGATGATGTTAATAACACTAATAATAATGATAATAATAATGATAGTGATAATGATGATAATTATGATAATATTAGTAATACTACTACTAATAATAGAGATAATAATAAGGATAATCAGATTAATCATGATGATAATAAAGCAATAATGAGACTACTTTTACTACTACCAATGATAATGTTAAAACAAATGATGATGATAGTAATAATAATAATAATAATAATAATAATAATAATAATAATAATAATAATAATAATAATAATAATAATAATGACAATGACGATGATGATGAGGGTGACGGTAATAATGATAATAAAAACAACAGTAACGATGATAATGAAAATAATAATAATGATGATAATAACAATAATATTAATAACAATGATAATGATAATAATAATAACAACAACAGCAACAATAATAACAATAATAATAATAATGATAATAATAATAATAATAATGATAGTGATAATAATGATAACAATGACGACGATGATGATGATGATAATTATAATACTGATAATAATAATAATGATGATGATGAGAGTGATGATAATGATGATAAAAATAACAATAATCATGATGATAATAATAGTAATGATAATGATAGTCACAAGAGTAGTACAATGATAACAGTAATAAAAACAATAACGATAACAACAACAACAACAATAATAGTGTTTATGATAATATCATCATTTTTGTTATTATACAACAATGATGATATTATCATAGATTATAATGAAATAATATTGTTATAATTATAATTATATCATATTATATTATAATACAATATAATATACTGTAATATGATATAATATATATATGAATTATATAATAACATAATATATAATATAATATAATATAATATAATATAATATAATAAATAATATAATATAATATAATATATAATATAATAATACGAATCTAATATAATTATACTTAATATAATAATAAATTAATATAATTATACTTAATATAATAATAATCTAATATAATCATAATTTTAATATAATCATTATAAAATAATATAATTTTAATAATAACATAAATCTTATCATCATCATCATTTTAAACCTTTTACTGTTACTGCCATCATTATCATCATTATCTTTCACCTTCTCTGTGTCACAGCTTCAAATCTCCTGTTTGTTTGTCTTCGTAATACCACTACAACCACACTCACAATACAAGAAATATAATGGAACACAGTATATACCCAAGTGATATAGTTGACATGGGAAACCTTACGAACCACGTCACAGAGGTCAAAAAATGGTGTGGCCTATAAAAGACAAGCATTTATGCACGTAAGGTCACTGGCAAAAATGTCATTCGAGTTAGCAGAAATAACGAAGAATTTAAAGAAAAAGCTAAAAGGTCGATGAAATGCATTTAGATAAAGGTGATTTTAAGTCAACTTGAACAGAAAAATTCTCTGTAGATTTTCAGTTGCTGAATTCCAAAATACTCTATGGTTATAAATCAATAAGCAATGCATTGTAGCTGAATGAGCGTCAAACCAAAGTTTTGCCAAACATAACCGAATAATGGATCTTTAAGGGATGTGGACATGAAGCCAATTTTTTTTTATAGTAATACATGTTACACCAAGATGAAGTATACCATTTTTCTTGTTCTTTGACAAATGCAATGCTGAGGATGCGTAAATAGAACAGTTATTCCTCACATACAACTGGTCCCGATAAACCATTTTCTATCACACAATTTTGGGCACTAGTTCAAAGTGGCGAGATCTTACACGACTCCTAATCTGTACTGCCATATTATACGCACTAACGACGATCTGCATACAGGGAATTTTCTCTCTGTAAAGAAAAGGGTAATGAATGAGCAGCATAACTATGTGTTAACGTATCATATCTTAAAAATACTACTCGTTATTTAGAGTATCTCAAGACTGCTTTACGTACTCTGTTTGCATTAAGGCTAGATTAAAGTGCCTCTCATATTCATATAATGTCGAAACATCTCAATATAGCATAAATATTAATTAACATTGAACAGCAGGTAACACCAAAACTAAACTAAACTCCTTACATTGATCCATATGAAACTTGGATATGTCTCAGACATTAACCCGAAAAAAACGAATAATTCACAAATAATCTATTTTATAGTCCTTAGTTTACGTGATAGAAAATTGACATCATGGAGATAGTCAAAGAAAATGTAGTTGTAAAGTTGATAAGGGTTAACTCAAACATTTAGTTGTACCTAAAATTATTAACTTTGAGACATATTGACTATTTCTGTATAGAAAAACATACCATATATATAACTATGCTCTTATATCTATATGTGTGTATATTCTGATACTTGTTTCATATCAATTTTATTGTGTACGTGATTGCGTATTTTGCTGACATCAAAGGAGATTCTTTTATTGGTCAATATTAAAAACCCTCATTAAAAAATATTTTGATATTTTAAAGACAAAAAATTGAAAATAAAATTATAAGAAATCTAAAATATAATCAAATCTCACAATACGATTTTTAAGAGCTATATTTAGGTAGACCGGAGATCTGGCTTGATTCCGCCTCTGGCCTTGCCTCACTCCACCAGCTGATCGCAACGAAAATGGCCGCCTCTCTCACCACTCTCGCTCGTCGCTATATTTCCACCACTCTCCGCAATGCCTCTGCTAGTGGAGGCGGCGCAGCCCATGACGGTAAGCTAATAAACTGGTATATCGTTTTGGTTGTAGAAAGTTTGGGAGAACCAATGGGATTAGACACAAATCGAGAAACCGGCAACTTGCCTTTCGAAACGACCTCAATTCTTCGAAATCACAAACATTTTTTTGTTTTGTTTTGTTTTGCCGAAGATGTGTTCTTGATGCGCTAACTGTGGTTAAGTCTTAAAAGATTTAAGGGTATGGCGAGACTTCTTTCGTAGTTCACAGTCTGTTGAATAAAGATCGTCTGTGCCCCACACCTGGGAAAACACTTTTGTTCATTTTATTGTCTTGTCTTTAATAGACTAGTGTCGTATTTCTGAGATAGTTTTTTTTATAGCATGTGTCTGCTGGTGGTTTGCTACATTATCGAAACCTTATTAGTTGCCTTTAGGTTGAATGTGGCTTGCCCTTTAGTGATATTGATTATTATGGTTTTTCTGTTGGAATAAGCAGGGGTAACATTGTGGAATACGTCCGCCAAACGAGTCACAATGTTTTCAGTATCATTGGATTTCCGTTCACAGTCTACAATGCAGTTATGTATATTTTATTGTGCGGATGCCCCTCTCAACCCCACATTCTTGGCCCCGATAGCAGGGGAGGGCATGAAAGGTGACCAGGAATATTATAAAATGTAAATGATAGATACAGAATCACACTATATTGTCTAATGCAGGAGGCTATGCCTGCTGCAGCACCCTTATGGGGGGGGGGGCTCTGCTACCCAACCCCCACTCAGGAAAACAAAGAATCCTCCATGAAGTTTATCTGACGCTCTCTCTTGTGTTACTACATGGAGGATTCTTTTTCCAGGGCAGAGGTTGGGTGGCTTGCAGGGGGCACAGCCCCTACATCAGACAATATAGTGACTGATTCTGTGTCTTATTTACATTTTACCCCACAATTTCCTTGGTATCTCTCATGCCCTCCCCAGCTATTGGGGCCAAGAATTTGGGTGTTTGGGGGTTTCCATGCAACAATTTCTACATATTTGGTAATTGTTGAAGACCGCGACCACCCTCGCAGAGACTAAGTGAAAAAAAATGTTTTTCTGCATGAAATCCTATGATTTCATTGATTTTCGGCGTTGTTTCTTTTGCGAATGAATCGTTCAGGAGATCGAGTACCATTTCTCCATCGACGATCTTGATTTGCTAGTCCCGTTAGTAGGGGAGGGCATGAAGTATATCAGGGAAATTATGGGGTAAAACAAGCTTAAATAAGAAGAATAACGATCAAAAATGCGTAAAACTAGCCACAAAAGCGCTTAAAATCGGCCAATGAAACTCTACGGATGTAACCCCATCTTTGAAAGTTTACGGACTGACGCGAAATAAATAAAAACTCTACGGGAACCCAACCCACATTTCGAAAAAAAACTCTACGGAATTCACACGTTCCAACCCCCAAAAACGTATTGACCAATAAACCAACCAACCTAAATATCAATATAAATTGCCGTGACTAGGCGTGCCCTTCGGGCACTGCCCGAGGGGAGGGTTGATGGGGGGCAAGCCCCCCAACACCCCCCGGGACACATTCTCTCCACCACGGTATGTACGGCAAGAGAGCTGCATTCACACCGTAAAATAATAAACCAAATACCTTTATATCCGGAAACGTGAAACTTTCGTTTCTTTGTACTGTTGGTATTGCTTCGATTTTAATCACCTTTTTCGTCCTTTGGAGCTCTTGATGGGCTCAGATATAAAACTGGGATGTTACTGAAGTCGAATTATTCTTCGATGCCACTGTAAAGGTCTTAAAAAAGAACCCAGAATCAACACAACACTGGAAACGCAACATTTCTCACCGGCTTTCAATCTCGAAATGAGCGGTTTGAGCTGTCAACCTGTGGCTGGCGCAAGAAAGTGTGAAACACTCGATGCGCAGGATTCGATATGAGGGTATATAAAATATAAAAATAGCAATTGAAGTATAATAACATTACTAAAAACTTTAAAGTATAAATGCGTACCAGCAGACACAGATAATTAGCCAAATATCTTTTGACAAGCGGTAATGATACACGGTTTGCGTCGTGTCAGTGTCGTGTTTTCCTAGCAGGTAAACAAGCTCATCGACTTTGAATTTGAAGGCTGGTGACTATAAGGCCGTTCTTAAACTATACGCTATCCCCTTCTATTTTTCCCGCTCTAAAGAATTTTCCTCTTCTACGCGCGTCGCGGTTTCACCTCTACCTTTCCTTGGTATCTCTCATGCCCTCCCCAGCTATTGGGGCCAAGAATTTGGGTGTTTGGGGGTTTCCATGCAACAATTTCTACATATTTGGAAACTAAACAGTGAGAGGAATCCAATGATGCTGAAATTATTGTGATCTGTTTGCTGGATATATTCCAGAAAATTATTTAAACAAGTATCTGCTATGAAAATGCTGACAGATGTGCATGCCACTATTTTTCTATGTTGTTGCTTCTTTTCTGAGAATAGGTTACTTATAGCAATGTGCGGATATAGAGTGAAATGGATGCCACCATTGGTAATTTCAGAGAGTGACGCACCCTCCCAGAGAATAAGTCGAAAAAAATTGATGTTTTTCTGCATGAAATCCTATGATTACATCGATTTTCGGCGTTGTTTCTTCTGCGAATGAATCGTTCAGGAGATCGAGTACCATTTCTCCATCAACGATCTTGATTTGATATTCCCGTTAGCAGGGGAGGGCATGAAGTATATCAGGGAAATTATGGGGGCAAAACAAGCTTAAATAAGAATAATAATGATCAAAAATGCAGTACAAAAAACACTTAAAATTGGCTAATGAAACTCTACGGATGTAACCACCATCTTTGAAATTTTACGGGCTGACACGCCAGAAATCAAAAACTCTACTGGAATTCACATGTTCCAATCCCACTAAAAAAACATATTGACCAATAAACCAACCTATTATATCAAAAGAATTGCCGTGACTTGGCGTGCCCTTCGGGCACTGCCCGAGGGGAGGGTTGATGGGGGGCAAGCCCCCCAACACCCCCCAGGACACATTCTCTCCACCACGGTATGTACGTCAAGACAGAGCTGCACTCACACAGTAAAATAATAAACCAGATACCTTTATATTCGGAAACGTGAAACTTTCGTTTCTTTGTATTGTTGGGATTGCTTCGATTTTAATCACCTTTTTCATCATTTGGAGCTCTTGAAGGGCTCAGATATATAACTGGGATGTTTACTAAAGTCTAATTATTCTTCAATGCCACTGTAAAAGTTAAAAAGAACCTAGAATCAACACAACACTGGAAATACATTTCTCACCGGCTTTCAAGCTCCAAGTGAGTGGTATGGTGAGCTGTCAACCTGTGGCTGGCGCAAGGAAGTGCGAAACACTCAATGCGCAGGATTCTATATGAAGGTTGAGATAAATATAAAAATATGCAACTAAAGTATAATAACACTACTAAAAGACTTTAAAGGCATAAACACAGATAATTAGTCATACATCGTTTTGACAAGCATGTAATACATGGACTAGTTCGTGGGCCAGTGTCATGTGTTTCTTTGCAAGATAAACAAGCTCATCGACTTTGAATTTGAAAGGCGGTCGCATGTTATATTTTCGTCATTTAATGGTGACTGTGAGGCCTGCGCATCTTAAACTATATGCTATCCCCTTCTATTTTTTCTTCCCTATAAGATGGCGGTGTCTATTTCCCTCTATCTATGTTTCTAGTGTTGCATTGATTCTAGGTTATTCCTAAGACTATACAGTAGCAGCAAAAGAGAAATGAATTTTAGTAACCATCCCAGTTTGATATCCGAGCCCATCAAAAGCCCTATTTTCTGGAAAAAAGTAATCCAGAAAGTAGAAAGAAACAAACAAAAGATTGTAGTTTCCAGATATAAAGGTATTTAGTTTGATTTGTTGTTGTGAATGAAGCTCTTATCATGCTGTACATACGGAGGTGATGAGAATGTTTCTTGGGACATGCCTAGTCATGGGAACTTAAATTGTTTGATTAGGTTGGTTTATTGGTCAGTACGTTTTTTTGTGGGGTTTGAAAAGTGTAAATTCCTGTAGATTTTACCGAAGGTTGGGCCAACCCATAGTGTAGTATCATTAGCTGACTTTAAGCATTTTTTGTGCTGGTTTAATGCATTTTTTCCTCATTCTTTTTATTTGAGCCTGTTTTACCCCGTATTTTCCCAGATATACTTCACGATCAAGATCGTTGGAGAAATGGTACTCAATCTCCTCGATGATTCATTTGCAGAACAAACAATGCCGAAAATTTATGAAATTTGATTTCTTGCAGAAAAACCAATTTTTTCAATATAGTTTCTGGGAGGTTGTGTCACTCTCGGTAACATCTATTATGGCACTGGATGAGAACATTGAATTTGAAAAAGTCAAGAAAGTGTGTAATTCTTTACTGTATGGACACACTCCCAACTCCGTCAGAAACTGATTTAACCCACCCACGCCGGGGTACATTTTGTAGCCAAAATTAAAAAAATCCGGGAAGCTACAAAATCGGCGGCGGAGCTTCCCCGGAGTCTGTCCGCTTTTGCCGCGGAGCACGGCTCCGAGACAGCATCGCACTGGCGGGCAGCCCGAAACTGTTTATTTTTTCCTTGTGTCTCATATATGTGACACCCGGGACGGATGGGTTAACAAGCTAAGTAGCTGTGCCTGGACGTGTCCTTTGAATGGAGGGTTGTTAGGGGGCTCTTCCACCCATCACCCCCAGGGAAACATGGTCTTTACCTTGGTATGCATGACAAAATAGAACCAGTACAGAGTGGATGAGAAAGGTGCTTCTTGCATTTTTTTTCCCCCCGCCCTTTATTTGTGCCATTAGTGTTTGTGTCTGAAGGTTATTTCTTGTACTAGTAAGTACATCTTTGGTAATTGCTAATGAGAGCGACGCACCCTCCAGAGACCAAGTCTCAAAACCAGGGTATCATGTGAACCCAGACACCCAGCCTAACCATTCCTACCTTCTATTTATTCCTTAGACAGGCCTCCTGTACCCCCTATTTATTAGCACTTCATGCCAGCCTATGGAAAACAGGCATTAAGAACTGTTTATGGACTTTGATTCTGAGTGGTGATATGCAGTGGACAGTTTTGTCATTTACCGGTAATTATGTGACTGCAGCAGTATAAATGAAGTTGTTTCTTAGGTAATTGCTGAAGACCGCGACGCACCCTCGCAGAGACTAAGTCGGAAAAAAATGATGTTTTTCTGCATGAAATCCTATGATTTCATTGATTTTCGGCGTTGTTTCTTTTGTGAATGAATCGTTCAAGAGATCGAGTGCCATTTCTCCATCGACGATCTTGATTTGATAGTCCCGTTAGCAGGGGAGGGCATGAAGTATATCAGGGAAATTATGGGGTAAAACAAGCTTATATAAGAAGAATAACGATCAAAAATGCATAAAACTAGCACAAAAAGCTCTTAAAATCGGCCCATGAAACTCTACAGATGTAATCTTTGAAAGTTTACGGACTGACGCAAAATAAATCAAAAACTCTACGGGAACCCAACCCACATTTCTGTAAAACTCTCCGGGAATTCACATGTTCTAACCCCCAAAAACGTATTGACCATTAAACCAACCTAATATATCAATATAAATTGCCGTGACTAGGCGTGCCCTTCGGGCATTGCCGAGGGAGGGTTGATGGGGAAGCCCCCAACACCCCCCAGGACACATTCTCTCCACCATGGTATGTACGGCAAGACAGAGCTGCATTCACACCGTAAAATAATAAACCAAATACCTTTATATCCGGAAACGTGAAACTTTCGTTTCTTTGTACTGTTGGTATTGCTTCGATTTAATCACCTTTTTCGTCCTTTGGAGCTCTTGATGGGCTCAGATATAAAACTGGGATGGTTGCTGAAGTCTAATTATTCTTCGATGCCACTGTAAAGGTCTTAAAAAAACCCAGAATCAACACAACACTAGAAATGCAACATTTCTCACCGGCTTTCAATCTCGAAATGAGCGGGTTGGTGAGCTGTCAACCTGTGGCTGGTGCAAGAAAGTGTGAAACACTCGATGCGCAGGATTTGATTTGAGGGTATAGATAAATATAAAAATATGCAAATGAAGTATAATAACATTACTAAAAGACTTTACAGGTATATATGCGTACCAGCAGACACAGATAATTAGCCAAATATCGTTTTGACAAGCGCGTAATGATACATGGAGTAGCTCGCGAACGCAAAAATGCGTTCGTGGGTCAGTGTCGTGTTTTTCCTAGCAAGATAAACAAGCTCATTGACTTTGAATTTGAAAGGCGGCCGCGCGTTATATTTTCGTCATTTAGCGGTGACTACAAGGCCAGTGCATCTTAAACTATACGCTATCCCCTTCTATTTTTCCCGTTCTATAAGATGGTGGTGTCCATTTTCCTCTCTCTACGCGCGTCGCAGTCTTCAACCTCTACCGTTTCTTATTCTATTTCTTATGCTCTGCAAGATGATGTCCATTTCCCCTCTATCTCCACGCGTTGCCCTCGTTAATTTATACCACAACTTTTTTTCCTCTATAGAAATATCATCTTCGATTTGCCCAGTCTTAGTGTATCTGTACAGTAAAGATTAATCAGAGATTGATTTATTTAATGTTAAAAAAAAAAAAAGTTTTTCAAACAGATAACCCAGACTGTTGCCATAATACAGAGGTAATTTTACAGAATCCCTTTGCCTAATTGATTGTGATGATTTTGATGATTGATTCCTCTCTATTATCTAAATATATAGAAATTATGCTGCGACAACCCTTCTGTTAGTGACAGTCTTGTTGCCTTGGGTGGATAGGCTATACTCTAACTCCTTGGATCCAGTTGCTTTACGACAATGTGCCTGTGTGGTTTATAGGTTGGGCGCTTGTGAATAATTTGTGCAGTGACAAGGCTATTCACTCTCCTTTGCAATGTTATTTTCTCTCTACATTTTAACATTTCTCAATAATTTATCCAATAGTTTTAGGCAGGAATGTTGTTCTTATTTGAAAGTGCCCCTGGAAAGGTTAATGGGCAGTCCCCTCTTCTCCCCACCCCACTGATATGACTGAATAGTACCATCAGCCTCCAATGCTGAGTTTTTGTTTTTTTCTTTTTTTTACAACAGGTGGTGTGAAGCAATGGAAGATGCTGTCCTTTTTGGTTGCTCTTCCTGCTGTGGCACTCTGCATGGTGAACGCTTTCATGGCAGAACATGAAGCACGGCCAGAATTCATTGCTTATGAACACCTGCGACTTCGAACCAAGGTGAGTTATTAATTCCATGCAACTTTTCGGCAGTTGAGTATAAGGATATAGAACTAGGTCAGTTTGTGTATACAGATATCTCCTATATAATGTTGGTTTAAATTTAACCCATTTAGGCCAGTATATTTTGAAGCCGAAAAAACATTTCCGGGTGGCTACAAAATTGGCGGGTGGGGCTACCCTGGACTCTGCCCACCCGCTGGCTGTGGCCTGCTGCTCAGTCGGAGCGCGAGCCCCGATACAGCATCACACTGGCGGGCCGGCCGGCAATGTTTATTTTTTCGGGTGTCTCATATGTGGGACACCCGTTAATGGGTTAATAAAAGATTTATTTTACAATGTGTAGGATAAATGCCAAGCCACTTGATGTGAAAAGGCAAAAGAATTCATTTTAATCCTGCCCCCAAAACCAGCCCAACCCAAGAAAAGAATGGAAAAATAGTATACAAACAAAAGTAAATAAATATTTGAATAATAACTTCTATTACTTACCCAAGGCACTGGCAGCCTTGTTTACTTGTTTATGCTTAATGAGTATTATCAATGCCGTAAGAAAATTGCAAACTACACAGGTTAAACTTGAACACTCTGGAAAGCAAGACACAAGTTGCATGAAGGGCAGAGAGACTAGTGCAATGTGGTTGGTTATGCTATCCACTATGCATCATATTGTCTGCATCACTGGTCCAACAGTCACTAGTTGGATGATTGATTTTTGGGATAAAACTGAAATGGTCTTTGCTGGTTTCTCGGCAGTGGTTGTGGTAGGCAATGGCTGGTTATTGAGACTTCAGATTCAAGTTTGTAGCCATGGCATCTGTAGGATTATTGATATAGCATAGTATTAATTACCTCATTATAATTTCCTGAATTGACCCAAGAAAAAATAGTCTCATTAACTTGTATATACTTAATTGTATGTATATATATATATATTTTTTTTTTTTACATTTCAGCGATTCCCATGGGGAGAAGGACAGAAGTCACTCTTCCACAATTCCCATGCTAATGCTCTTCCTGATGGATATGAAGAGGACGAGCACTAAAATCCTCTGAAGACACTTTGATTTTAGATATGATTGTAAGTTAAATGTAAATTGTATTACGAGACGAAGGTAATTTTATTTTTCATCTGTGACTTATTATGTACATACAGAGTTTGAGAGTCCAAGTATGAGTTCTTCTTATGATACATAATTGGAAAATAAAAGTGTAAATGTATGTTTTTGTTTCTTGTTTTCCTTGGTGATATGACTTAAATGCAGACAAGGCAGATGTATCTCTAGTTTACTAGAATACAATTTATAAAACTATTAATTGTACACAAGAATACAAGTTGTAAAATTATCAGTTCTACCCAAGAAGACAAATAAAACAAACTTTAAATATACACAAGAATACGTTAAACATCAGTTGTGCCAAAGTTTGTAAAACATTGTAGGGTCTTCAAGAGAGAGACAGAGAGCCATTCTTAATCTTGTCTTGTATCACTAGTTTTATTCTTAAAGAAAAGTGATATATATATTAATATATATATTATATATATATATAATATATATATATATTATATATATATATATGTGATTGTATGTATGTGTGTGTATGTATGTGATTGTATGTATGTGTGTGTATGTACGTGATTGTATGTGTGTGTATGTATGTGATTGTATGTGTGTATGTATGTGATTGTATGTATGTGTGTGTTTATGTATGTATGTATGTGTGTTTATATATGTATGTATGTATGTATGTGTGTTTATGTATGTATGTATGTGTGTTTATGTATGTGTGTATATGTATGTATATGCATATATATGTATGGATATGTATATCATTTATATTTATATTTCATAGTTTTGGTGTGGTTGATGACAACTTTCTCTGAGAGCCTTTACGATTTTAGTCAGTTGGTCAATAATGCTACATAGGAGCTAAAGATTTGCAAAGGCTTTTGTTAATCGGACAGAACTATAAAGCAATTTTATCCCAAGCATTTCAGCCTGTGGTGAATTGCATAGAGTGCTTGTCATGTAACCCAGTTGGTCCACATGTGCTTGTCAATCATGCCCACTCGTGTGGACAGGCCTTTAGGTGTGCACACGTCCAGTCTCCTGTGTACACAGTAACTTCGTGTGTGCAAGACAACATAGACTATTAACACTTCTTCAGAAATTTGTTTGTGTATATGGAAACTTTTTTATCATTCATTTTGTAATTTATTGAGAAGCCAATACATAATTTTTTAAAAGATATATATGTCAAGTACATGGCAACAATGACTGTTTGGAAGATATTTAATCAAGTGCATTGTTTTATCTTCCAGCCTGTCCACATCAGCAGGCACGATCAGTGGGCACTGCATGTACCCAATACCAATAGATCAAGCATGAAGTCATGTTTTTACTTTTTGTCTAAGGTTTAGTGTTTCAGATGGGGTTCATTCATACATTCAAGTGGTGTCAGAGCTGAGAAAGCTACTGGCTTAATAACCAAATCCATATGGAAATCAGTTATCAGTTTTCCTACCTCTACCATCCCCTCATGGGTGTGCTGGTTTCTCTGAAAATGCCATAATAGGGGTGTCCAGCAAAGATTTTTCATTTTCATTTTTTCATGGAGTGAAAAAGTATCAGTTTTGAGGGGATGGAATGTATGTAAATAATGCCCTAACTCTTGGTGTAAATGTAAAGGCAATAAGCCCAATAGATGTTTTTATTTTGCGTAAATAGTATGCAAAAGTGTGCATTACATTTTACCTACACACAATGATGTCAAGTCTTACTGATTAGAACCTGAATTTAGGCAGTGAACAAACTTTTTAATTATATGCCCTGCATATTTCTTATTTACATTTGATAAAATTTGAATCCATAGTTCGACTCTGGGAACAGTTGAAGGAAAATAAAATATTATACACGCACTGTATTTATTGCTGACATCAAATGGACAAAACTAACATTTTCTGCTACTAAAAAAGGGTACACTATGCTACCTGCTCGCTTCCTTACATAGAGCATTATGAATTATTTCTTAGAAAATTACAGTGAATATTTCCATAATCAATGTCCCATATGATACCACCCACTATATCAGATGCATTGTCATTAAAAATTAACCTCTGACCAGGATACCAGTACTCTATAAAGCATTCCCAGTATATTACAGCAGTTTACACACAAACATACATACAATCTCATACATGTGCATCCCTGCCAAATTTATCAAATCCTATAGCAAAGAAAGTTGCAATTTAAGACATGAGCTCGAGTTTATTTAATACAAAATTTATTTCCCAAGAAAGGCACTAAATTCATATTACACTTCATTTTTATTAGTGAAGAGAGGAGCATTTGAGCAGTTGGGGATGATTGGTTGTGTGCAAAACCCGTCAATTACCAAATAATTGTCATCACCATTTGTTAGCCCAATTGTCCCCATACTGTCAAGTGCATTCTTTGCCCCAATAAAAAGAGTATAATTACATTTGTGACATAAAAAAAAAAAAAGTCTCTGCTTGGAATCTAACATTGGATATGAAAGTAACTGTTTGTTTAGCTTCTGTTTAGCACCTAAATGTTATTGCAAATTTGTTAACTGTTCTCAATAGCTATATATACTTAATGCAATATATTCAGTGCTAAATATTAATTCTCAATAAAATTATGAAACAAATCTACCATTAGCAGCATTTGTTCAATACTGTTTTCCTGTACTTAAACATGTAGCATTATATGATACAATGTGAAAGATACAAATCAAGCGCATGCCTTTTGCATCCATTAGATAAATTTTATAATCTGATCACATCCTTGGTAATCTGAGCTATTTAGCTTATTCTGTTAACCTGAGGATGTAGCTCCATGAGCTCATAAATGTTGGCCTCCCAGATCCTCGGGACTTGAGTATATACAGAGTTCTTTTATAACTGTTACTGAGAATCATATCTGTGATGTCACTTAAGTTTCCACATTTCAGACTTGTATTAGTACTTTTAATTCTGGACTGATATTTTACTTTCAAATTAACTGGAATGGAAATCTCTTATTCTACTTAATCTGTTGATCCTGGGAGGGTGTTATGCATGCCCTGTCACCTCTGATTTTAATTTATCACTTGAAATTTCACATGGAAGCCTCCATAAAGCTTAGTCAGTTATTACAATAGTAACTTCACTAATGATATTTTTGGCATTAGAATTAAAACTATTGCAAAAATTCAAGGAACGGGTGAGGCTACATAGATTGGACTTAGTACTTATGAAGTCTTGGCTTTATTATGAAGCCGTCAGAAAAAAATGTACAGTGGACTGTGCAGGTACCCAACACTAATGAGTCAAGCATGAAGTCATGTTTTCACTTTTTTTATCCTAGAGCATGGATGGTTGAATGCACAAGGATAAAAAGAAAAATGTTTGTCACAAAAAAAAATTCATTACCAACATTTGAACTTTTGGGGTTTCCATATTCTAAATCTGATTGGACTTTTTTAACAATCTATTGTATTACAAAATTACCTATGCACTAATTGTAAAAAAAAAAAAAAAATGCTAGTACATTTAGTAGAATTTTATTCTGCAGTATACTAAGGATGGAACTTTTAAATTTCTAATTGCAATATAGAAAAATAGGAGAGCAGAAAGCATACAAGAATCCTCATTTAACAATGCATCTGCATTGTTAAATAAACTAAACCTGTATAATTATAAGCACTCTTCTAATGTTTTTCAAATAAGTTTTACATGATATACTCCATTCATCTCTCTTTCATGGATATGTTATTGAAGAAATAGTCTTATTACTGAAGAAAAAGTAGTACAATGAAGACAACCTAATCTATTTGAAACCAAATATCTCTCTCTATATATTTTTTTTACATGCTAGTTCACTAATAACTATATACAGCAATAAAGCATTTGCCTTTAACAGATTGAGCTTTATTAATGTTTTTGAAACCTATAAAAAGAAAGAAAAAAATTCTTTGGTCTTCAAAATTTTAGCATTCTACCTACATTATCTTTGTTAATAGAATAAAAGAGGAAAAACAACCACTCGTAAATTAAACAAAGTGTATGATGTCCCAACTTATTACTTTCACTTCCAAGTAAATCTTTAACTCCCCCACTCCCCTAAAGGAGAGATGAAGGATAAACACGATAGCGTACAAAACCCTTGCCTTTCGTATTTTTGCTGTTACAATTAGCCTGACATTAAAAGACTATATTTTAGCATGTGGGTTCATTGCATGCTCACATTAGTTAATTTACCAAACATTAGCTTGAGTCTTCCACCAGTTGCCTTAAAGAAAGATGGAAGGAAAAGTGACTTCTAATACCTTAAGAAAAGAAAGAAAGAAAAAAAAAAAAAAAAAGCAGGGGGAGAACAAATAAACAGAAAATAACTAAGAAGGCTTGTCAATACTGTGAAAAGCTGCTAGAAGCACTGTTAGAACATATTCAAATGGTACCAAAGAACTTGAAGCAGAATCCAATATTATTTCAAGGATTATTTTTACCCGCATAAAATGAAGAGGGAACAAAAATATAATGATAGTCTTACATCTGTAAAACTTCATTTTTTTTTCTCCTAATTATGGAGCCGAGTCCTTTAGATGTACTCAAAGATAGGCCTCACTGCATAACAAGAAGTAGAAGAAGAAGAAGGGGGAAAGCTCTATACAACTACACTGATTTTGATAAGTTAGTTTAAATAGGTCCTTGGAACTGAGAACTGAGTGATATCATTGCTTTAATACCCTATATAAATTGCTAATTCCATATGGGAAGTTTTTTCTAACAAAATTAGACTTAATTTATTATTTGGGTTTAACCCTTCAGTATTTATATCAATAGTTAGGTTATGAAACTAATATATGTCAATTAATTCCATAAACCCTGGAAGTGTTTGTAACCTTTGGCAAATAAGCATAAAAGATGGGAAAGCCATATCAGGAGCTGTTTTGTTCCTTCTTATCTGGAAAAGTAGTTCAATGCTGCAGGGACTTTACAAGTTAATACAACATTGAGCTAATTAACCCTTTGGATATTACATTTTTATTACATGATGAGGACATTTAACTTGAGAGAATAAAAAAGAAAACAAAACATTGAAAACAATATGACTACATGGTAGAAACCAAGGACATACAAATATTAAACTTGCTCAATTTGGCACTATTTCCCCTATGGACAAAAATATAAATCTTATAAAAAAGAGAACCCATGTGCAATCCATGCATAACTTTCATTATATCTATTACCTGACTTAAAATATGAAGAAAAGTTTGGCAGATTCTAGAACAGTATAAAACACCCATATAACACTTCCCACCTTCTCTCATGAAGACATAAGCAGATCCTACTTTGAAGAGAAATGCCAAAGACCCAGAAATGATTAAACACAGTATATTTTGGAACTCCTCTAAGGGTTTCTGATCACGGAACAAACCACTTCAAAAGTGTCAAGTACTCAAAGCTGACCTTTTCAATGGGCACCATACAAAGTAGCTCTTTAGTTATTTTTTCGTGGAAAACTCAAATGGCGGGTAAGGATAGTTGAAATGGCAGTTTACCATCTTCCTGTGATCCTTTGCAAGATACATGCAATCAAAACTGACATTTTCTACATTTTCAGTACCTCATTTCATAGGTGGTATTCTAATACTGCTAAAAGGCCATGAGCAATTCTACAAGAATGGTTCTTCATTCAGTCAAAACGGGTGCACTCTGAATATCATAATCATTGTATAATCAGGAGAATAATGAGTAACTTTTCATTATTAACTAATACATTGATTGGTTATTTGTAAAATGAATGAAGATTTGTTACAAAATTTGATACTCTAAATTGTAACATGTCAAAAAAAATCTCAAAAATCACTCATCAGAGCTATGTAATGATATGTAAGCCAGTCTCATGCTGGAAATATATGTAGTGACATGCTGTAATTATACAATATAAAATTTTACAATAGTTTCATGACTATTATTTTTTAAAAGCTGAAGGCATGTGAAAGAGCATAAAACTGTTCTAATTGGATTAAGCAAAGTAGGTAGACTACATCACTAGCAATAATTGACAAGCACTAAAATTGCTCATTTACTCACCACAAGTAAAAAATAATGTATGTTTATTTTCCAACAAGTACCCTGGTTAATTCAAAAAATATATATCCGGATAATATTACACGTCTGAGCTTTTGGTAATTATTTCAAATAGTACTTCTAGCTATGATACATTGTTGGGTTGGGAATCAGAAAATCCATGAAATGACTGTCTACCCTTCTTTGACTGAACAGTTCAGTCAGTTACCAGAATGAACACCTAATACTTTACCATACTGACAGCTACACTTTGAGAGGTTCACTCCATCACTGTGAACAAATAAGGAAATTCAAGTTGCTCTCTAAAGACATGGACTCTTCTATTACTTATTTCTCAACATGGCTTTCTTGTGCAACA